CATCCAGGCCGTGCTGCTGCCCAAGAAGACCGACAGCCACAAGGCTAAGGCCAAGTGAGCCGGCCCCGAGGGAACGGGCAGAGCAGCGAAGTGAAACCCAAAGGCTCTTTTCAGAGCCACCAACAAGTTCAAGAAAAGAGCTTCGATCTCATTACACTTAATTAAAGAGTGACAAAAAAAGTTGGGAGAGGGGGGGAAAAAAAAAAAAAAAAGGCTCAGCCGAAGTTTAGAAGCGATCTCCTGCCATCAGTACAGGAACGCCCGTGTTATTTCCCTCCCGCCCGCACTTCCCTCCCGTGTCCGCACTGCGCTCCCGGAAAGCGATGACAACCGCGGCGCAGCCAATCCGCACGCAGTGCGGGCAGTTCAAAGGTATCGCAGCGCTGCTTCCAAGCGGCGCAGAGATGTAGTGTCCGCCACTGTTCATAGCCCGCTCCGCCCACTTCCACCTTAAACAACGGAAAGGGTTTCTGACATCTTTCTCGGAAGCACCCATGAGAATTGTTTAACCAGTATTTCAGCTCCTTTTGGGAAATCTTGGGTGGCTCTTAAAAGAGCCGTTGGGTTTAAAAGCGGGTCAAGAGTTTTCTTCCACAAGGGTTTACTTCTTCTTGGGGGCCGCCTTCTTTGCCTTGGCTGCTTTGGGTTTGGTCGCCTTGGGCTTGGCAGCTTTGGGCTTCACTGCCTTTGCCTTGGCCGGGCTCTTGGCAGCCACTGCCTTTTTGGGCTTGGCAGCCTTAGTTGCCTTCTTAGGGCTCTTTGCTGCCTTCTTCGTGGTGGCAGCTGCCGGCTTCTTGGCTTTCTTGGGACTCTTCTTCACTGCCACTGCTTTCTTGGGCTTCTTGGCAGCACTGGCAGGTTTCTTAGCCGCTGCCTTCTTGCCCTTAGCTGCAGTCGTCCTCTTCTTGGGAGCTTTCTCCATGGCTTCTCCCGGCTTCTTGCTGAGGCGGAACGAGCCGGAGGCGCCGGTGCCCTTGGTCTGCACCAGGGTGCCCTTGCTGACGAGGCTCTTGAGCCCCAGCTTGATGCGGCTGTTGTTCTTCTCCACGTCGTAGCCGCCGGCGGCCAGCGCCTTCTTGAGCGCGGCGAGAGAGAGCCCCTTGCGCTCCTTGGAGGCGGACACGGCCTTGGTGATCAGCTCGGTGACGCTGGGGCCCGCGGGCTTGCGGGCTTTGGCGCCGCCCGCCGCCTTCTTCGGCTTCTTGGCGGCGGCCTTGGCGGCGGGAGCCGGGGAGGCGGCGGGCGCTGCAGCAGGAGCGGTCTCGGCCATGGCGGCGATGCGAGTAGCTCTAAAGGCGGAGGCCGCAGCGCTCCCATTTATAGCAGCGCAGCGGGCGCTGATTGGTGCACGCCGCCCCGCCCCGCTCCGCTGCTGCTCGGCGCTCGGCCGCTCAGCTTGTGTTTCTTCAGGGAGAATAAAGTGTGTTTTTTCTACTTTATCTGTCACGAAATTGCTCTTTCTCTACATCTGAGGGAGCGTGGAGGGGTCTATTTTCACCTGTGGTTGTCTTGTTCTAGAAAGAGTTGCGTTCGGGCGGAGAGAGGACGATAAATCCCGTGTCCTGCAACGGAGCGGTCCTTCCGAGGGCGAAAGTTTTGTTTTTCTTTGTAAATTATAAGTTGTCCTTTAATGCTAACGCGAAACAACAAAGTCGGCGTCAATTTCCAGAGGGTCTTCTTTCCCCCTGAGTGGGAAGCGGGCGGCCAGGGCCCCGCTGTTCCGAACCACACGGCTCCAAATCTGCCGAGGTAGCACAGCTGCCGGCTGCGGTGGTGCACGCTGCTCGCCCCGCTCCAGTCCTCCGCCACTGCCAAACGTTCCGTTGGGGATATTTCTCCCCAAACTTCCCAAGCTACAATTCCAAGCGACTGTGTGACATAGGAGACGATGTACAGTTTATGCGCCTCCAAATGGGAGGCTTTCTCTGCAACCCTTTGCTGCTGTTAACGTGGCACGGGGCTCTTTAATGATAATGGCTGAACAGGGACACGAAGATCAAGTAGGAAAACGTTTGTGTTGAATGACTGAGATGCATGGAAACCTCTGGCACACCGAAACAAGCCACATAACTAAAACATGCAGTACTATTTATGTACAATATGTTGGTGTGATTCAGTAACATGGAAATAATGGACAGAGTGCATCTGCAGATGTGAAAATGCCACTTCATGCATATTATGAAGCCAAAATAGGAAGAAAACTCCCCATCCTTGCCCACTGCTCACTCAGCAGTTGCAGTCAAAGTCAGAGCAGTTTCTGTACACAGAACCTTTGGCTGCAGCACGCAGTGACCCAAAGCTGTTTGGATCAAAGCATGCACACTTCCCTGTCAACTAACGCATTGTACATATTTTGGTACTCGACAGGATTTCCTCATTCATTTATCTTGAAGTTTGTCCTTTCACAGCCCTCACCCGTCATATTGCTGCATTTCTGCCTAATGTGTACAAATCGTTCTTGCAGGCTGCTGACAGATGCTCAGCTCCATTGTTTCAGCAAAATGAAAGATATGTGACTGAGAAAAAAATAGTAATAACACACTCCCTTCTGCCATTCCACCACAGGGAAATTGAATAGAAATCTTTGTCTCTCCGACTTCTGCTTTCTTTCTGACCCTTCCTCATCACTGAAGTTTCCCAGCTGAGAATTATGCCTCAGGCAGGGAGGGTGGCTGGGATGGAAAATCCATCAGATCTGGATGTTGGCCTCCCAAGGAGCACTGGAAGCAGGGTGGCTCATAGAGCAATATTCCCCAGGCATTTTACAATGGCAACATAACCATAAGCCAGATGTACTTCATGTGGCAATAGAAGACATAGAGAACTCGGTAGTGTCTCATAAAGCTCCCCAAGTCCAGGTGGATGAATTCTGCTCCATCACATGAAATCCTCTGCCCTCTAAAAACTAAGCTTGTTCCAGGTTCCGTAAGATTGAACCTCTATATGTTCACTGACTCTTCCCATATTGTGGTTCTAGTGCTCGGGTTGAGACAGAAGCCTTTCTACCCCATAATAAAACAGTTTCCTTCATTCTTTGCAAGTCCTGTTTTGCAAGAGCAATAATGCAGCACAATAGAAATTTTTTCTCCGATCTGTAATTTGATCTTTTTGAGATTGTTTTCCTCTGGGTGTTATAAATCTTCCACACACACAGTCTGATAGAATACAGTGTGCACCTAAAACCTATATAGTAGTGATAACTACAATACTCACCATCTCCAGGGGAACAGCCTCTCAGCATGTGCCAGAGCAGCACTGCTGCAGCCTCACTCCACTTTTGAAGCCACTGAGCTCCATCAATTTATATCCATCAAAAAAGGCTATTTCTCAACTCAAAACAATTTTTGTAATCGTTTTAAGGGCTTCTACTTGTTTGACTCTTCTCTGTTTATGTGTTTACTCCATGATTCCCCTTTTACTGTTTGGAAGGCAATATATTCTCTTTGCACAAGCAAGCAGCAAAGCCATGATGTTAGGAGGGAAAGCATGTAAGTACCAAAGAAGACCAAAGCATTCAAGATGAGGTGAATGCAGCACCACTGTACTAGTGATAGTGAAAGCACAAGGACAGTGATTTGCTCTCCTTGCTCATGTACAGCTATTCCCTGTGTGTGATTAGCAGCATGAGAAGCTGGAAGTTATGCACCACAGGTTATCACTGTAGTCATATTCAGTCCTCATTAGGATATGCAGAAGCAGTACACATTTCCCTGCAATGCAGGCACAAAAAAAAAGAGCAGATAGGGAAGATACTCACTGGAGAGATTTTCCCTCCCTCCTCTTAACCATTTACCATCACAGTTACAGCAAGCTCTGCTGCTTCAGGTTAGATGAGGTGACCATCAAGAAATAATATAAATGTCAGAGCTGTTCTATGTTGTTTGTTTCTGAGCACTTTCAAGCATTGTTTGTACAATCAGTGCGAGGCAGCTCAGGCTACAAAGCAAGATCCAAAAGCCCATTCGGAGCACTTCCAGGCAGTGTGATACATATAGATTGTTATAACCAATAACATATGTTTTCTTTAAAGATAGTAGGCATATCACAATTCAAACCAAACTTCAAGCCTGCAAGATAATAACTGCAAGATAAGGGCAATTTTCCAAATTTTTCTTGTCTCTTTTATGTTACTTAACCCTGAGCTAGCTGATGAAGCATAGCAACCACCACCACTGACATCACTGGTCCTAGGGAGATCACTTTATACAGATTTACTGTTTATGCATTTCTACACATACCCATGGTAATTCTTCTTGAATTTGTTTATCTTCCTCCCCTTTCTTATAAGTTTTTCACTTGCCATTCATGTTTAAGCACACTTCATGTTTCTACATCTTCCAATAAAGTAGAGGCCACATCCGCTTTAGGGGTGGGAGAACTGAGAGTCACTTGTCCACACTTCTTAGAAATTAAATTATTTTGATCCTCCAACTTTTGTTTGGCTCAGATTTTCCACCCTCCTCCTGTTGACTCAACATGTGAACTCTCACAGTTTCCTGTGAGGAGGAAAACAATTCAGAAATGATTCATTTAATTTGACAGCAAAATAAATAAAACAAAATACAACATTAAAAAAAAAAATCAAAATCCAGTGAATCAGTTTGCTTATTTTCATTTCCAATTTGTTAGAAAGTTCAGCTCCCTCCTGTAGACACGCAGGCCAATTGGGGATGTCAGCCCACAGGCGGGGGGTGGATCAGGCCATGGGGTAACACCTCACAGACACTCAGGATGGTTGAGGTTGGCAGCACCTCAGGGTCCCTCTGCCCCAAGCTCCACTCAAGCAGGGACACCCAGGGCAAGGGTGCACAGGATCACATCCAGATGGGGTTTTTGAGTATCTCCAGGGAAAGAAATACTCCAACCTTCTCTGGGCAGCTGGTGCCAATGACCTAAGTCTTCCCATACCCACAAGCAAGTCACAAAGCCCTAAGGGGGCACTAGGAACAGCCATTTGCTCACTAAGGCAGCCAGTCTCACACTTGTGGCTACTTCATCCTGAGCCTTCCTTCCCAGCCTGTCCAGAGCAGAAAGGCCACGGCAGTGTATGCCTGGCTGCTGAGACAAACATCCCCTTCCCCTCCCTGTGCTGCTGATGTTCCCTGCACTTTTCCAGGAGGCCACTGGGATGCAGAACCTGCAAAGGAAAGGAGTGGATTGGCACCCATGTCCAGCAGCTGAAGTGCTGCCCTGAGCTCAGTGTAAAAATAACTGCTGACATCACAGGGGCTGGGCAAGCAGATGTCTTTGGAGAATGGTTGAAGGAGGGTGGATACTTCTAGCAGGTTCTTTATCACCTTTCTCTTGAGCATATGCAAGGTATGCCATGTACAGAGCTCAGATCGGGGACCCTGAATCCATTTATCTTTCTTGTTCCTTTTCCACTGGACACCTCTGTAGTTTTCCACTGATGGAAGATTTCCAAGAGTTTTTAAAAATTGCCAGTGAGCAACATTTATAGAATGGCTTAGGTTGGAGGGGACCTTAAATATTATCTAGTTCCAACCCCCAGTTCTTTCCCTCCATCTTCCTGGTATGTATTGAAATAAGAAATTCCTGTGACAGCTGCTCTATGCAGAAAAAAAAGGAAAGAAATTTTGTTCCAGAGATTCCCATTGGTCTACTGGTACCTCTTCTTCACCAATATGTGTAAAGAAAAAAATGCTGTGGACTCAAATCAATGCTCCTCACATCGAGCCACCAAGAATCAGAATGAAACCCACTTAGAAATGGCGAAGCCTCAGCCTCCTGTCGTGAGTTAGCCCAGAGCAAAGAAATTTAAAATCACAGCCCGATCAGTGCTACTAAAGCTGTGCTGGGTCATAGGATGGCTTCAGGAAGCACTCACTGGAAATAGAGGCCACCTACATTCATCACCTTCCCTCTTAGCAATTTGTTTCCCTGCGAGTCAGAAGCGTTTGTGCTAAGGCGCCTCTAAGACTCATTGAGCTTTCATTAAAGATTGCTGCAGAACAGCCAGAAAGTATCAGCTGCCTGCAGCTTCGGGTTGGTACCAGAGGTCCTGGATTCAAACTGATGTTATTTTTGAATGTACATCAGGAAATGCATCAGCCTCTGTATGCTTCCTGAAATATGAAAGGCAGTGAGAAGTAGGTAGCCTGATTGCTAACACCTCCTTACAGCCTACTGTGCTAGGGAGAAAAAGTCCCTTACCATGGAGGAGATTTTGGAGAAAGAGACTGTTGTTTGTTGTTTTTTTTTTTTTGTTGTTGGGCTACCTCATAACAACTTACCATGTGAAGAACTTCCTATGGAACTGCTAAAGAAAAATAGTGCTTCAGA